TTATACTCAGCTCAAAGGCACATCATTTGCAGTATAGCTTAAGTCGAGAAGTGTTATCTGTCAACCAAAAACCTTCGAGTTCGACTATGCTCAGCTCCAAGGCACGTCATTTGCAGCATAACTCAAGGCTAGAAGGGCTATCTGCCAACCAAAGACCTTCGAGTTCGACTACGCTTAGCTCTAAGGCACGTCATTTGCAGCATAACTCAAGGCTAGAAGGGTTATCTGTCAACAAAAGACCTTCGAGTTCGATTATATTCAGCTCAAAAGCATATCATTTGCAGTATAGCTTACGTCGAGAAGAGTTATTTGTCATCAAATACCTTCGAGATCCGATTTTATTCAGCTCCAAGGCACGCCATTTGCAGCATAACTCAAGTCTAGAAGGGTTATCTATCAACAAAAGACCTTTTGAGTTCGATTATACTCAGCTTAAAGACATATCTTTTGCAACATAACTCAAGGCTAGAAGGATTATCTACCAACATCAAGACTTTTGAGTTCGATTTCATTCATCTCAGAGGTATATCAACCGCATGGTAGCAACGATGAGCTACATTCTGGAAGAATTTTCAAGTCGAAATCTTCAAACCAAGAAGAAGACCAAGGCCCAATTCTAGGTTCAAGCTGAAGCCCAATTACAACTACTCCCTAACAAATGTATCAAGTCTCAAAACAAAAAAGGACCGGACAAAAACTGGTTGTCTTTTTCATCTTTGCCTTATTCTTGTTAACACAAGAATGTGCAAAGAGGGGCAGTTGTAGACCCCAGATTTTGTCCTCATCCCCAGCAGCCCATACCTCGCCCAGCCTGGCTACCACAAGACCACAATCACTTGTTTTCCTGCCAATGCCAACGCAAAAAGGATAGGGGTGCATGTGAACTTTTATCCAAAGCATCATCACAAATTGCATTATTTTAAAGTGTAAAATTATTGTGAAATTGGCTATAAAAGCCGAATGCATGTATGAACAAATGGGAGGGGGGAGGAAGGGAAACAATTGTAAGTAGAGTCCTTTGGTTTTTTTTAGAGGAAATAAGAAGCATAATTTTACCGGTATATTTTTTGTGTTTATTTTCTGGTATTCAAAATACTAGTAGATAATATTTTTTTTGTTAGAAATAAGCAAAAAACCATCATAAATAAATTTTAGTTTTATCCTAGTTTTAAAGTTTATTTGTTTAAATTCTTATATTGCAACTAAAAAATCAGTTAGTGTAATTTTTGTTCGTGGTTTATATACAAAATTTCTATTTTCTAAAAAATATATATATGAGTTAGGGATTTAAAATTACCTAGATGCCATGGTGTTTGTCGGGGTGGTGTTGACGTCGCCGTAGTTGAGGTGTCGTCGTCGTCGGTTTAAGAATCGAAGCGATGAAGGTGGATTTGTTGGGCATGCTGTCGTGAGGTAGATTAGCAAATAAAGAAAAAAAGGAATGAGATATGGGAGTTCTGGAAAGCCACAGCAAAAATAAGAATTTGGGGAAGAAGAAGTGCTTTTAATTTAGATTTTGGGTTAATCTCACTTAGGGTGCCTATATTTTTAGTCATCTTTTACTTTGGTTGCTTAAAGTATTGGTTTATTCACATTCAAGTCCCCTCAATTCCTGTCGTATTTTGCATAATAACCCCCAAATATATGCGTAAAAATTACATTAAACCCCTTGAAATGTTGTCTTGTTTTTACATTCCAGTCCCTAAAACTCCACATTATATTTATTTCATTTTTGGCACTTTAATTTTATTATTTAAAATTTAGTCATATTTCCTGTTTTGTTTATTTCTAATTGACACTTTATTTTATGTCTATTTTATTTTAATAACTATTTATTTTTAATTTGGTATTGCTTTTCTTATTTTTTGCATCTTTATCTTTGTTTATTTTCAATTTTAGCTATTATCTTATGTATTCTTGTATTTTATATAGTTATATTTTACTATAATTTGTGTCACCCTGCTATTTTAATTCTATGTTGTATCTACTAAATTTTTTTACCTTATTTTAGTTTGATAAGTAATGTTTAAATACTTTTATTTTATTCTTGTTATTACTTATTTTGCTATTTTTTATTAGAACTCGACTTTGGTCATTATACTTTCAAATGTTTTATTTTAGTCATTATTCTACATTTGGTTTTATTATTGTTTGGCCTTTTAATTTTTTATCATTTTTGTTTAGCTATTTTAATACTTTAAATTTCTATTTTTTTATTTTAATCTCTTAATTTTATGTTTTTATTTTGCAGCTCATTTTTAGAATTAATTTGATCCATGAATTTTAATTTTTTCCAATTTAATCTTGTTTTAATTTGAATTTTTTTTATTTCCTTTTTATTTTTTATACTACCTCTTTGTCTTTGTTTGTTTTATTTTTAACTTTATTTATGATCTTTTTTTAGGATAATTTTAATCAATCAAATATAAGTAATTTGAATCAAATCTCTAAATTTTAATTTAAATTTCAAATTTCGCAATTAAGACAACCGACAAATTAAATGGTACTGAAAGGGCAGTTCAAGGGTGATAATCATTCCTTGACCATAACCGACTCCCGAACTCAACATATTTCTGATAAAACGCAGATCAGGTAAGATGATATCCGATCAACCAAATTTTTTACGAAAAATAAATGATCGGTGGCGACTCCCAACATATTTTATTCCAAGTCGAAGCCAAATTTCGGGCCCACCCGAAAGGCGGTTGCGACAAACTTAAAGCAATTCCTGAAAGTATTGTATTCTTTTTCTCCATTGCTCGGACTCTTCATTTTGCTTGAATTATGTGGTCCAAAATGTTTTTGTTCGGATAGGAGCATTAGAATATGAATGACTATGCTACTGGTGCTTGTTGGGTCTAGCAAGATGAGGTGTTAGGTCTCTTAAGCAAGGTCAGTGATTCGGATCCCGACATTGTTAATAGAGCAAATTTGATTGGGAAGGTCGCCTTCATAGTGGGACTCTGCATTAATTGAGCTAGATTAGTCTACCAATAGGTTGAATGTTGGTGGTTGTACAAAAAAAAGGAATATGAAAGAGTACACTCATATCCGTATCGAGCAAGTCACATTATTGTCCGAGTAACTTTGTTCTTCTACCTTTCATTTTGCTTAAACTATCCAGTCTAACACATACTTGGGACGGGAGTATTAGGATATGAGTATGACCCTCCAAATACATATGAACAAACTTAGGAAAAATTGAATAAAGTCATCTTGGACAAGTATTTGTATCCGACGCTCGCATCCAAGTTCTAGGAACATAGTTCTTTTGTTTCTTTTTGTTGTTTTTGGATGGTAGTGTTATCATCATATATTTTCCTTTAACTTGGCAGCCTCACATTCGGTGAAGAAAATTATTGAAACCAATCCATACATGCTTGGAACAATGGCTGGTGGAGCTGCTGACTGCCAGTTTTGGCACAGAAATTTGGGAATCAAGGTACTGATAAAGAATTTGCCCTCTTTCTGATTGATACCATCCGGGTCCTATTTTGCGTTAGCTTTGTTTTGTTTGCTATGTGCTGTATATTTTTTGTACATTGCTTGTTATGTATGGAATTGTATATCCATGGCTTTAATGCTGAACAGTTTATATCAGCGTTGTTTTCTCTCGTTACCTGTTATGTATGCAATAGCATCTCAAAGGTTTCAGATGATGAGAAAATGGCGTTTTCCTAACACCGTTATTATTCTAACCTTTCATTTTTCCTAAAGCACTAGTGTCTTCCGTATATTTGGACATGGATATGGCATATGACCCTCCAAATACATAAAAAAAACTTGGAAAAAATGAATATACTCCTTTCAGATACATACCCCATCCAACATTCACACCCAAGTTTGAATAATCTGATGCCGTTGACCATGACCTATATGAAGTGCTAATGGATTACCGTTTACCATGACCTAGTGCAGGCTGCATGAACAGGCAAACAAGCGCAGAATTTCTGTTACAGGGGCATCAAAACTGTTGGCAAACATTCTCTATTCTTACCGAGGAATGGGACTATCAGTTGGAACCATGATTGCCGGATGGGATGAAACAGTAATTGAAACTAGATTTTACTCTTTTTCCCTCCTCCCACTCCCTTCCCCTTGCATTCTACGCATATTGCCGCATGTTTTAATATGCCACCTAATGTGAATTCTATAATTCTTAACCAGTTTATTACGTGGGATCAAATGGTTGGAAGAAGCTTTCCAGTGATGATGTCGGAAAACTTCACTACAAATACTATCCAGTGATGCCGAGCACGGTAGAATAAGAAATGGTTGAAGTAGCCGGGGCCTAAGATGTAGTCCTGGACCTAGACCTAGACCTAGACCTAGACCTAGTTGAAGATATTTGTCATTATTGATCTTTTAACCGGGTTGTCATTGTTCGTGTTGAATTTTCTTTCTTAATGAATCAAATTCCCCACTTATGAACAACGCTTTAATCGGTTGAGCTCGAGTTGGTTAAGTTTTAAAAGTTGAACTCGAATCTGAATTGAGTTAATCTCTAATTATGAAAACTAAACTCGATTCATCAAGCTTCAAACAAAGCTCGGAATTTGAAACAACCAATCAAATACCCATTGAAATCCACATGTCGATCACTTCATTTTCACTTTTCTGCTGCCACTTACCACCTGACTGCCACCTCGTTATGATCTCCGCTAAACAGACCCAACCCAACAAGTCTCGTAGAAAAACAACTACTTTTCAGCCCCCGTCTTTGGCCCTAATGAGTCCCCGCCCTCTCCAATTCCAATTATAGATTAAAAACGTATATAATAGTTAACTCTTTATCCTTTAATGAGTCCATAAGAATCTCCGGTCCAGTGGCAATCCCTAATCTATGTAATCTTTAATGGTGATTAATACGCATTCAATTCCTTAAGTTACCGGGCGTTTAGTTGTTCAATTAGTGCTATTAAAGCTCAATAAAACTGCACTCTGCCTGGCATTTAATCAAACAGCAAGGCCGTGATTTATATAAATAGCTTTACAACGACAGCGAATTGTACCTGAAATAATTTTGCAATGGAAGTCTCGAGCTTGAATCATAAGTCCCTCATCGTTGATGCCCCAGTTCTAGAGGTTATTTCAGACAATTTTTTCTGGATTTTTTTAAAAAAGAAAAAGAGTATTCATAAAAATTTATTTTATAAAATATTCACGTTCAACATTTTTTAGAAAAGATTATTTAATATTATTCGAATTCAAATAACAAAGAAAAGGCTGATGAGTATTTGTTTTGTAGTACATCTTGGAAAAAAATGCCTACCCTAAAGAGCACGAGCAACTCAAGGAATTAAGAGAAATCACTGCCAAGAAGTGTGAAGAGAGGTATGTTCATATCTCTCATTTAAGTAAGGATTATGTTATTCGGATTCGAAATATGAATCGGATACCGATTTATTGTTAGTGGTGATATCTACAATTTCACCGTATCTAAATATGCATCGAGTGTCGATGAAGCCAAAAATTTAATTTTATTTGACTTGTATCGTAGGAGCTTCATGAGTGTACCAGTTGATGAAGCGCAATTTTTATCTATGCTTTTAAAGATTATGAATGCCAAGAAAACAATGGAAATCGGAGTTTTTACCGGCTATTCTCTTCTTGCCACCGCCCTCGCACTACCCGATGATGGTCAGGTATTTCAAAGCTTCAATCTCTCTCGAGTTATGATTCAAATTCAATAATCTTGATCAACGAACAAGTCTACTTCGTATGAAAAATGTTCTTCTTTATAGATAACCGCAATCGATTTGGACAAAGAAGCTTATGAAATTGGATTGCCATTCATACAAAAGGCTGGAGTTGAGCATAAGATTAACTTCATTCAATCAGATGCCTTCTCAATTCTGGATCATCTTATTAAGAATGTAAGTATACCATTAACTTGAGATAACGCTGACAGATGGATTTGAACAAATAAGGGTATGGATCTTAATGGGTGAGTCCGGCCAACTCGAATCGGATCTAAAGTAGCATTTTTGAAATACGAACAATATAGGCAAAAATCATTTTTGGGTCTTGTATAGTTTTAATCCCTCTACGATGTTGAAATATAAGAATTACTCATCGTACTTTAATGTGACATAACTTCATATTTTATTTTTATAACGTTATTAGTAAGTTCAAAACAGATGAAATAATTGGATGGCAGGAAGAAGAAGCGAGTTTCGATTTCATATTTGTTGATGCCGAAAAGGAAGATTACATGAGATTCCATGAGAAAGTGATGAAATTGGTGAAAATAGGAGGGATTGCAGCTTACGATAACACATTATGGCTTGGGTCTGTGGCTTACGAACAAGACGACGACAAATATAGCGCAATGCCCGAATCTATATGGAAAAATAAAGATTATGTAATTCAATTCAATGACTTCATAGTATCTGATCCTCGAGTTGAATCCTCTCTTCTTTCCCTTGGTGATGGTCTCACCCTCTGTAGGCGCCTATATTAATCAATTTGAGATCTTGAGAAGCATAACACGTCGTCAATTTGAAATTTCATTCTCTTCGATTATAATATATTGGGTAAATTACGCATTTAGTACCTAAACTATCAGTTTTGATATATTTTAGTACCTAAATTTTCAAAAATTTCAAATTCATACCTAAAGTTTACTTTTAGTTTCTCGTTACAAAATTAACGCGTTTAGTACCTAAACTATCAATTTTGATCCGTTTTAGTTTCTAAATTTTCAAAAGAAAAACTACAAAACTTAAGTATGATTTAGGTACTAAACTTGTTTTGGTACTTAGACTTTTATTTTTTTCAAAACTTAACGGTGGGAACTAAAATGAAACAAAAATTAAACTTTAGATATGATTTTTAAAAAAAGTGAAAGTTAAGGTACTAAAACGGATCAAAACTGATAGGTTAAGTACTAAATGCGTAGTTTACCCTAATATATTATTCTTTCGGAGTCTTTTATAATTTTGATACTTTAAATATATTATTTATACTACCATTTCCTATTTTCAAATGAAAAAAATTATTTATTATACTTAAATATAGTACGAGTGATAACACTTTCTGCTAAGCGTAAATCTTTGTCATTTATCGTGAATTGATTACGATAAGTAATGATATTTTTCAAATGAAATAGCTGAATAATCATATCGTTAGCTAAAGAAATAAACTAATATAAAAATTAATTCAAAACTATAAAATTAAAGGATCAGTTATTCCATTAAGAGGTTGTAAATATCAATTATTCTATTCACGGATGATAAAATATTATAAATAATTATAATTAAATTTGAAGAGAAATTCGAATAACTAGACTCGATTCATCAATTCAACTGATTTATAAAAATTTACCTCAACTCGACTCTATTAAATACTCATCCCCAAACAAAACTTAAGCACATGCATTAAACTTTGTATAATTATCATTTTTATTACATGTTTAAACTTCGTATGATCACATCTACTATATGCTCCACTAAAATTAGAGTAAATATCAATCTTTTATCAAAGTTTGATATCGTAATATATACAAATCAGAAGAGATGCAAGCCTTCCTCATGCATTGGATATCATATTTTATACAAATCATAAGTGACTGTAATGATTCGTTGGACCATTCCTCAGCCTTCAACTTGACGTCTTTAGACACACTCTATTCCATTGAGCCATGAATTGTGCTTAATGGTTGACCTTCGGGTTCATTGGAAGGACTTTTCATTTGCATCCTATGGAACTCCTAAGGGCATCCCAATACCTACAACTTTTGTACATTATAAATAGGCCTTTTATGATACAAGTGGTCTACATGTTTAATTTTAGTGGTCGAAACACCGTTGGTAGAAAATGTTCATTGCAATAAGAAAGATAAGAAGAGCACACAGATTGGCATATAGAATTCTAAACCATAAAAATCACATAAGAGAAGATTTCATTGTGGTGGGTGACAAATTATAAAAATATTATATAAGAGTACATCAAACCCTAGAGTATTGGTTAATATCTTTAAATTTAATTAATTAGGTATTTAAGAGATTATATTTAGTTTAAAAATGTAATAAAAGAACATTTTTCAAACAAATATATAAGGAATGTATATATTAAACTAAGGCAAAGCTAACAAAGCATTCCACTTGATATATAATATTATATACGTGTATATATATATGTATGCATATGTGTGTATGTATTGCCAAATATATCATCTTTAATTGGTTCTTTTGCTAATTGATATTCAATATTATTTTATACAAAGATTTGCTTTATAGACGTGTATACAAATGTATGCATATGTGTGCTATTAGATTTGCTTTCGATAATCTAATATGATCATTGTTGGTGATATATAATCAAAGAGTATTATCTATTTTTCTACATATTTGGATTTTATTCATTCATATAATATTTCGATTTTATTATAAGAATTATTATCTGTTGTAAATTCCAAGTGGAGGTAGATAGACATTTTATAGATATTCATTATCAGAATATACATATTTATTCGTACATAAATTTAGATATTTGGATTCGATATTATAATATGTAATTTGAAATTTTATAATGTAAATCTATTTGAGTCTTGATAATACAACTTGTAATTTTAAATTTTACGGAATAATTAAGGACAAACCCAAGATTTCACGCTAGTTGTGAACCTATAAAATTTTAAGATTAACGGATTTATAAAATTTTAGAGAAGATAAAAACGGCTTTTCAACTGACGGAGATTGGTTTAAGTGGTAAACAATTTTATATCATTTAAGTAGGTCTCGAATTCGAGTCTTTGTGCATGCAGAAAATCTCTACTCAGAGGCTTACTCACCAAAACTAAGTGTGTAACATGGGTCGGTTCGAATTAATCAAAATGATACCTTAAAAACGGAAAAAACAATAAAACAATTAATAACAATATTATATAAATTTAAAATTTTCAATAACGATACACCTATCCAATAACAATAATAATGAAACAAACGGGTGGTCAAAAGGTTGAGACACAAAAGACTATTATGTCTCAAGCAAGTGGGTGAGTTTTATTATACGGGTCGATGCGCTGCCACCGTTATTGACTACCCCTCTGCTCACCAATCAGTCTATATTTTGGTTAAATCCCATACAAGTTCCTCGTATTATGTATTTTTACTATTTTCATCATTCATAGTCTTTCTAATTTTTCAAATATTTATTTTCGATCCTAAGATCAACTCTTTATATTCATATAAATAATATAATATATTTTATAAAAAAATATGGAAATAGGACATAAATATACTAATTTTTATATAAAATCAAATAAACATTATATTTTTTTTAATATTTTTCTCTCCTCTTGTTTCCATGAAAAAAATCAGGTAATCGTATGTTTTAATAATTAAGTCATATCAAATTATTTTATCTTAATTCAATGTAATAATTAAACTTGTGAATGAATTAGATCGTAATTCGAGTAAGGGCATATGGCAACAAGAGTTAAGGGAGTTTTGGCACTCTAAAAATTTTCGAAAATTTATATTATACCCCTAGAATGTTTTTTAAAAATTTTAATTAAATCTCTTAACATTATTAAAAATTATTTAATTAGACCTTAAAATTTCTTCAATTTTAATTAAATCCTCAAACTTTACGTTCAAAATCCGCAACTAATTATAAGAAAAAACTAATAATTTAGTCAATAGAGAATTGATGATTCCCAACATATGATAATGTTAGTGAATTTTGTTTCTAAATTAAAAATTGATCTCTTTCATTTTCAATGTTTGAACATAAACCTTCCACGACATATTTTCAAATATATAAAAAAAAAAGGAAAAGCTGTAACCTAATGGTTAAGCATGCTTTGGTCCATTAAATTAGGAATTCTTTAATTATTGACCTTATAGTGTGCTCTTTTAGTGGCTCATAGGCTACCTTCAACTCATTTCTAAGTTATTTAAATATTGAAAACGTATCTACATTAAAATAATACCATCCTTCCTCAAAAACGTTATTATATTCTTTGAACTTTGTGTTTGTTTTAGTTTATGTTTGAGATTTGTAATAAAGTTAATTTATTTTAGAACCTATGTTGAGTACTTAAATGTTATGTATGTCAGACAATGAACTTGTAATGTTTTAAGTTTGTTGGATAAAATTATTATGTTTTATGGTTATTGGATATTAAAATAATTATGTTTTTAAGTTTGTTGTATATTAAAATTATTATGTTTTATGTTTACTGGATATTGAAATAATTATGTTTTAAGTTTGTTGGATATTGGAATTGTTATATTTAAGTTTGTTGAGTTTTGGAAGTGTTATGTTCTAAGTTGATGGTTATAAAATTTGTTCTAATTAGAGTTTTGTATTTTTTTGATATTACAAATTGTTGGTTGAAGTTTTAATTTTATATTGAGTTTGGTGGAATTTGAACTATTTGAGATATGATATTATTATTGCATTTGTTTTAAATTTTTGCTGCTCATATACTTACTCTTTTTATACGATCATTAATGTAGATATGAGTAATCTTAAATCAAGCAAAGCAGGAGGTACGCCAAAACAATTCAGATGGACTATACCAATGGAATGTGTTTTCCTTGAAATACTTGCAGAGGAAGCTCAAAAGGGAAATATGTCGTCTAATAATTTCTGACCAGGTTCTATAGGTCGAGTAGGCACAACTATTTCTGAAAGATTTCAAGTTCAATGTGACACAAAACATATGAAAAACCATTTGAGGACAGTGAAAATGCTTGGAAAATCACATGTCAAATTCGAGGAGAGAGTGGATTCGGGTGGGATGACAACATGAAAATGATAACATGTGACAGAGAGACATACGGAGTTGCAGTTACGATAATCTTTACATACTCTTCCTTTAATATATTAAGGTTCTATTTTATTTGTTATTATAATTGTGTATGATACCTAATAGGCACACCCAAAATATTCATCATTTTTTAACAAAAAAAAATTGACAATTATGATGAGATGGTTGTGATTGTCGATCAAGATATGGCAACAAGAAGTTTTGCCAAAACATTTATCGATATAGACTTGGATAATGATGAATATTCAATGTCGGTTAAAATTGAAGCTGAAGATTTCGATGAGGAAAGATCAAAATTTTCTTCATCTGGAACATCAAAGCGCAAAAGAAATTTTTTTTGAGAAAATACTGATGATGATCACATTCAGTTTGTGGGTGAGAAACTTGGTGAGATTGTTGAAGCATTAAAAAAATTTACTGAGGATAAGTCGCCACTTCTTTACGAACAATAATGTTGATGGAGAAAGAAAGATTTGATGACGAATTTCTTTGCAATGTATTTGATTTTCTAGCAACAAAATGAGTCTGGGCAAAAGCTTTATTGGCTAAGAAAACGGATCATAGAAAACTTTAGCTTCAAAAGTTTCCTCAATGTTAAATATATGTAGTTTTAGGGTCTTTTTTTATTAACAAGTATGCACTTAAACAAATATTAATGTATTAATATGTTGTAGTACTAACTATAT